ACGCACTTCATTGGATAATTAAATTAATGGAGCCATGTAGATTTTTGTACGCATATATTGACGGTAACATTAACGAAAAAAAAAAAAAGGACGAGAATCTACTAGACAGATAAGCGACAACGACTGTAGGTAACAATCCATGAGCATGTCGATGTTATCACTTACTTTTATACCGACGGTCGCTTGTACACGCGTGACAAGCCAACTTTCAGGTTTTCTTGGCTAATATGGTATTTAGTAAAATTAATTATATGGTTTTATTCCATCATCTTTATCTGGATATGGGCGTTCGTTATAAATAAAAACTACATGAACATTAAATTAATTAATTGCATGCTCGAAGAAAAGTAAATAGTCCAACTTTTATGCAATATTTGAAAGGAAGGAGTGCTTAAAGTTATTTTATCGACTGATTAGTCCCTAGTAATTTGAATACTATCTTATTGCATATGCAATATCAATGAAATTATACTTTTAAATTGCGAGTGTTTAATTGTACATCACTAACAAAATAATTGCAGACAGCTGTTCCATGTATTAGATCCTCTCGGCTATATACGTACGCATTGCTATAAAGTTTCGGTAATTGTACTTTTTAAATTTTCATAATGCAAATAATTAATGTATAGTACAATATAACAATATTAACTTAATTTAACATAAATTTCTAATTATTATTAATATTTAATATTAAAAATCTAATTATAAGATGAACTTCAATTATTTTCATATGAATTTGACATAAATTTTATCCAATTGATTTATACAGTATGATGGTTGGTAATTATATCATACTTTTTTATGAAATATTATTACAGTTTAATATTGTAATAATGATTGAATGTAATAATGATGATTAATAATGATGAAGTTGCTTGTATTATTGCAAATATAAAAATTATTATTGAATATTTATTAATAAATCTTCATTATTTTCAAAAGAGCTTGAATTGTAATTTGATTGCATCGTAATAAATTAATTTTACATAAATAAGAGTGTACAAATTTTATTGCACAAGTATAATATTATATATAATAATACGTTTCTCAAAAAAAATCTTCAATAAAACATATATAATTGACATTTTCGGCTTTACAAATAAGTACAAATTCTCGAAACATAATAAATTTATTCTTTAACAGTAATATCAATAAAAATTAAACATATAGTATGAATAAATGACATTTGTCTTTTACCATTTAATTTTAAAAATAACAAATTGTTCGGTTATCGCACATTGTTTTCTTTTATTTTTATAATTATGTTTTATTTACAAACGATTTTATTCGATGCTCATTAGTAGTGATGATTTTCCATATCTTGCGTGCAAAATTATTTTAATTATAATATAGTTTTGTAAAAATTAATTAGTTTTTATAAAAACGGCACTCTATATAATCCATATAATATATATATATATATATGATACTAGTCAGTGATGTCATTCAATTGCCAAATAATATTTAATAGATCATAAAGACAATTAATACATAATATCCAATAGACATAAATTTACACGAATTTAATTGCAGATGATTTTAGATACACAATTTATCATAGACTTTTCGAAAAAAGTAATTTTTCACTTTTTAAACAACTGGTCAACCGTATAATTTTATGCTACGACAGTGTAAAGCAGATTTTTTTTTTTTTTTTTTTTTTTTTTTTTTTTTTATAGAATTAACTGATCGCTGTTAATTGCGACAATAGTGAATGTGTACTGCTATAAAGTTGTTTTACGATCGTTTTTTATAAGTATATATCTAATCGTAATAAAGTTATTATAATTGTTTAACGCTATTTTATTATTCTCCGCTATAAAAAAAAAAAGAAAAAGAAAGAAAAAGAAAGAAAAAGAAAGTAATTTTAGTAATTTAGTTCCATACAATTATATATTATAGACTATATAATAATTTTTCTTTTCAAAAATAACATAATTAAATTGTGATAGAATGTTTTTTTTTTTTTTTTTTTTTTTTTTTTTTTATTCATATGAATGATGTTTTGTGACTAGTTTATAAAATATTACTTTACGATAAATTACTTATAAATATTGTTAAAAATACACCTTTTCCCCTCTATACCTATTTTCCTAATCTAAAAATAATAGACGCATAAGTGAGATCCAATCTCCACTAGTTCCGAGGCACAACTACTCTTTTTATTCTCAACAATACTCTTTCTTACAACTATAGTTATTTATAAAATATGTATAATTTAATTATTTCAAAATGCAATAAATAGCCCTTGTTGTTATCTTAATTTGTTTCTACTTCAAGATTCTTGAAAGCTATTAATCTTTAACGGCTTTATTACAAATAAAAATAAATCCATAAATCAGAGATTTATGTATGGGTAGATGGAAATTTTTTCTCAATTATATTAATATTCTTTATTTTCACTATAATGAGCGAAACGATTGATCATATAAGATGAAGCATAAAATCCTTATAATTCCATTGTATTATTATGTTTTGATTTACTGTTATTATTATTATTAAAGAAAAGAGTCGCGAAAAATTTGTAACTAAAGGAATACTTTATGAATTTTTAAAAATAATATATATATTTATTACTGCTCTTACGCGAGGTTCATGATTGCCATTATCTCATTACGTAAAAAGATGTATGAATATGTAAATTTTGAAATGAAAATTTCACCGATAAATGCATTGACTGGAAGCTGGACTTCAAAGTACTAATAAGCATGAAAAATATCCGTAAGTGAAATGGGGATAATGAAATTGGGAAAATAAACGTATAATAAAGTAATATATTGTTCATGATATGGCATAATTAGATAGTGTGAATTTTATATTTAACATCTAGTAAATTGGGTCGCACTCCTTAAGCTGGTGCGACACACAACGTGCACACTACTACAATCGAATAATTTTGAAATAGAGCTGGTCAAGGTATGGGTAGCATACCCACCTGCCAATCATCCATACTACAAGAGTGCAATGACAATGGAATCCGAGTAGGTAAAATTTTGAAATTTTATTGGCACAGACGCTTCGATTGTAATTTATTTGTACAATATGTATTTCATTACATATAATCGAATGTCCGACATCGAACTCTTAATTTCTTAATTTCTTCTTGGTGACAATTCACGTTTCGTAGATTATATTGTCAAAATTGAATTTTTGAACTAATGTTCACTGGAATCATTACATTAGGACACGATGTTCATGTTTGTGGAATCAATTTTTGTTGAGACAATAATATCGATGGTCTAGCGCCTTCTTAGCGCAACTTCTTCACCCATTGAACGTATCGAAGAATAATATTATCGTGCCGTCTCTACTCTAATATAGAGCATGGATTTATCATTTAATATCATTACCATTTGATTGCAAAATTCCAAATGTCAATGTCCGCTCAGAGCACACAGAGAGCATTTAGTGCGCAGCTCCTGCACGTGGTTGAACATGTTTGCGTGCGTGCACACGGACGTGTTCCGTGCTGACATCTATTGCATTTCATTGGCACACCAACAACACGAACGATCCAATCGACAATGGAATAAACGGCAGGCGACGAGTGACGTCATTGTATCTGGCTTTTAACGGCTGATTGCGGTACACCGCCGCACATGGAGGATTTTTATTTCAATTCTTGAGCCTGTGAAATCGAGTTTGTTATGCATGCGTCTACATATTTATAAAAAACAAAAACAGAAAAAATAATAATGATGGTTAAAAAAGGTTTGATCGCGAATAAAATTTTTCACTATAAATTGCTTTCTTTTAGTACGCAATTGTATCTAGTATCTTTTACAATGTATTTTTATGTCATTTATCGTGTACATTATTAATAATTCTCCTTTAATTCTAACTTTCTAATTATCACAACGCATATTCGTGGCTCGAATGGAATTTTTAAGATTTATATTATCATTTAGTGTTCTACTATGTCGATCGAGAGGATAGTGACGTAGCATTTACATATTCACAGATTATAAATTTGCCAAATATCGGCAAATAATAATTAACGTTTCGAATTGTTGAGATAATAGAGAGAGAGAGAGAGAGAGAGAGAGAGAGAGAGAGAGAGAGAGAGAGACGTGTTAAAAACGAGTGGAAAGGTGGGCGGGTGCGTGGATGAGTTTATATGGGGTGTTGTCGCGGTGGGCTGGGGGGGGGGCGACGGTTGGATAAGGTGTAACTAAAAGAATGAAAGCAATAAGGAAAAAGGGAGGGACAGAAACTTGAGAACGCGTTCAAGTTATATTCGAATAAGTTTAAAAGGCACGATATAAATTATAAACGCACACGCGTATTAAAGCTCAGGGATTTCGATTGCGAGACAAGATGTACGCTACAATACGACCTTTTTAATACCAAGTTATGGTCGTCGGAAGAGGGAGCGAGAGCGCCAAGTTGTAAAGTAGCTTAGTCGAATGACGTATAGTACGTGCGTGCGTTCACTTCCCGAGTGATTTCCTAAAAAGAAACACGAATCGCCTGATTCGTAGACGCGTATGTACGATCAAAGCGCGTGTATGTCTCTCTCTCTTTTTCTCTCCCTCTTGCCGTTTGCGCGTGTCGCCCACTCTAAGGTTCAGCGAAATGTACGTTGGGTTGCCGCCACCGCCGTCACCGCCGCTACTGACATCGCCGCCGCCGCCGCTACCGCCGTCGTAGCCACCGCCGTCGCCGCCGTCGCAGCTGCCGTCGCTACCGCCGCCGCTGCCGCCGCCGCTGCCGCCGCCCGACGAATTTCCACCGCGCGCGGTGTAGACGACCTTTTCGGGTTCTCTTGAAATAGAAGAAACAAAAAAAAATCAACGAGAAGCGGTCGGAAGGAAGAGGAAAGGAAAAAGTAAGTGGAGAGGTGGTATAGCCCGGTAAGTCTATCGTGTACGACACAACGGTGACTCTTCACGGAATTCTTTTCCCTTGTGCGCTAACTTTGTGTTGTTTCCCTTTCTCCTGTTTTTCTCTCTCTCTCACTCTCTCTCTCTCTCTCTCTCTCTCTCTCTCTCTCCCTCACTCACTCTTTTCTTTCCTTTCAAGGGTGTTTCGCGTATCCAAAGGTGTGTGTACATGTACGTACTTGCGACTCTGCGAACGTTAAATTCGCAGACTTTCCATGACATGCGTGTTTTTGTTTAAAAGTCGTCTTGGTTGGCTCGTTGTATTAGAGATTTTTAGGCGTGTGAATGTTATTGACTCGCTCGTGGCATGCGCGCGAGTATATAGGAGTGTAATTTTTATATTCGTTCTCTCATTCGTCAATTAGTGCAATTGAAGACTTTTAATTGGAAGACTGTCGTTTATTGTTGGCCCAGCAGATATTTGGAGGAGGATTCATTAATGGCTTTGTAAATATAAATTTATATGTTTGCATAAAGGGAGAGCGAGAGAGAGCGAGAGACAGAGCGAGAGAATGAGCGAGAGATGATGAGAGGAGTAGAGTGTGTGTGAGGAACGGGGGGGGGCGAGGAGGAGAAGTCGTTAAAAACATTGTATTTTTAAACAATTTTTGTTATTTTTGTTTATTTTTCATTTTTTCATTAAGTTATTTTATAAATTGTTCAAATACGTATTTTTTACCCTTGGATGACGATTCTTTCGTATTTCGTTGGAGATATTATTTTTTGCAGTTATTAAAAATTTTAGATAAATTTGAGAATGGAGCGTGACTTACAAAATATTCACACTTTACCTGAAATAGCTTTGATAATTTTTATTTCTTAAATATTATAATGGCCAAAAGATAAAAACTCTATACACTCATGGCAAAAGATATTAGTTATATTATGAGTTAGATAGACGAATAAGAAAGTTATATTGTATTTTTTACATTAAAGAAAATTTTCCTTAATTTATAGAAACAACATCATGAGTTCAGGTAGGCCGATCAAGTGCGTCGTAGTTGGAGATGGCACGGTAGGCAAAACATGTATGCTGATTTCTTATACAACGGATAGTTTTCCTGGAGAATATGTGCCTACAGTGTAAGTGGCTTTAAAAAAATTACACTCTGCTCTGTTTAAATACTTGCGAGCTTTTGAATTTATGTTTTGTTATGAACGCTGAATTTTATGATATCTATTAATAGTCTGTCAGAGTAAGACATCCAAATACTCACAGGAAGCAATTAATTTCACACTATCTTTTTGCCTGTTTGTCTTCCGGTTTTAATTTTATAAATAAACTCAAAAGAATGTTTATAAATGTTTCTTATTAACTTTACAAACATCCATATATCGCATTTGTTTGTCTTTGCTTCAATATTCAAGGAAATACTCATGTAAATAATTATATTTTCTTTATTTTATCGTTATATTTTAAACGTTGTGTTATTTCTATATAATGTGTACAATAAATAATTTTTTTAATTTCTTAATTAATGCTTTTTTAAAAACATATTTTTATTAATGTGTTTCATTTTGTAGTAATGTAGCCGAGTAAATTCATCATAGTCATCAAAATGTATATGCTATATACTTCTCTGTAAACATTGATTAAATTGTATTTTCAGGTTCGATAATTACTCAGCTCCGATGGTAGTCGATGGTATTCCAGTTAGTTTAGGACTATGGGATACAGCAGGTCAAGAGGATTATGATAGACTCCGACCCCTATCTTATCCACAAACAGATGTATTTCTTATTTGCTTCTCTGTTACAAGTCCATCGTCATTTGAAAATGTTACTAGTAAATGGTATCCAGAAATTAAACACCATTGTCCAGATGCACCAATGATACTCGTTGGAACAAAAATTGATTTACGAGATGATCGTGAAACATTAACAGCATTGGCTGAACAGGGACTTAGTGCCATTAAACGTGAACAAGGCCAGAAATTAGCTAATAAGGTACGTTCAATTTTGTGAAAGACACGGACATCCATATTATCTTGTAATATTTTTACTTAAAATATAAAAAAGATTATTAATGCAAATGAAAATTGTATAGCACCAAGATAGTCTTTATTCTATTTATTATCTCGTTCTTACTTCATTGGCAATATAGTGCATCAGACCTTATTAACACATACCTATCACTAATATTTCTTTTTTAACAATAATACAAATTTGCGTTAATTAAATTTAATACCATATCCAATGTTATGCTTTAGATACGTGCTGTTAAATATATGGAATGCTCTGCTTTAACACAACGTGGCTTAAAACAAGTTTTTGATGAAGCAGTTCGAGCAGTACTTCGACCTGAACCCCAAAAGCGTAGACAACGAAGGTGCAGCTTGTTATAAATTGAACGGTTATAAGCTGATAAACAGGCAAGAACAAAATTATACTAAAGAAACGAAATAAATTAAATAAGCGTTTATAATTTTAATTTAACAACAAAAGAGGGCACAATCTTTACGGACTATAATATTTCATTGACACCACTATTAAAATAGTTTGCAGGTACATTTTTGCTATTTCGATTAGTTTAGATTTTCTAAAATGTGAGAAAATCTATATGGTACTATAAATTACACAATGTCTTTATAAATATCTTTATAAAGTTTTTAAAAATTTTTCTCATAATTTATAAAGAATTATATACACAATATAGAATGTTTGAGAGATTTTGAGAAAAATTTTATTTTTTCAAACTTTCTTTGAACTGTTTTATAAATGCCTTTGAATTTCATGTAAAAAATCGAAGTATAATAAACATTGTTCAGGGAGTGAAATCAATTAGAAAGATTCTATTCCACTGAAAATTCTATTTACAAAGCACAAAATATTATGAGTAGCGATATGTTCTAAATTAGATTTGTGATCGTTTAAAACAATTGTTCAGTGCTCCGAATATGATTATGCTTAATATCGAATTTTTTCATATTTTTCGTGAGTAATATGCCGTATACGTATGTATGTATATATATATATATATATATATATATATATATATATATATATATATATATATATATATATATATATATATGTGTATATATATATATGTGGGTGTGTGTGTGTATGTGCGCGCGCGTGTGTGTGGGTGGGTGGGTGTATGTATATATGACTCCAGTAAATGTTATTAAAAATATTAGCAAGAGAACTTTTCAAATGTAATATTCATTTTTTAATAAAATTGAATGCATAATGATTTTCTCAAAAGAACAAGCATTTATAGTTAGAAATTTATTTTGAAGTAATTAATAAATATGTGCGTACATTCGGAATATTTTTATATTACACCCATGAAACTTGAATTATTAACTTTGTATTTTTATAAATTTATTATTTAAAGTCTTAACTTTATGTAATTACTTTAGCTAATGGGGGTAAAAAGGAAACTTTAATGTAATATAAAATGAACAGAAGTAAATTAATTTGTTTCGATAAATCTTTAATAATACAGATATTTAGATTAAATATGATATCATTCTTTCGTTTGATTAATTAATTAATATTATATTTGAAAACGTTGCTTTTGTAAACACAAATTCATATATTTTAAGAGAATATGTAATTACTTACTAAACTTTGAAGTGCGAAAACAAAGAGGATTAAATGTAAAAGTAAATAAAGTAAATGTAATTTGAAGTCATCGTAATTGAAACAAATTGCCGAGTGACAGTCAACGGACGATGTAAAATGGGTACACGGATGTGTTAGTGTACAAACTTACCTCATTATTTTACAAAAATACTTATAATCAAAATAAAGATAAATATTATATGTAAATGAAGTAACGGTTCTACGTACGCGTTAATAAGGCAGCGAATGGAATGGATTCGGTCTTTTAATTAACTTTAGTCGTTGAAAAATAAATTGTCTTTTCTAATTGCTATATTTCTTTTGGAAACGATTGACGTTAAATATTCATATTATAATTCATTTCCATTATCTTTCTAATAGCATTTATCTAACCCTATACTGTTATTTTTAACTGTTTTTCCTTTTATAAATCTATACATATATTTAATCGATTTAAAGTCATTTTTGAATTCCATTTTATTAAACCATTTTATACTCTTTAATGTTACAGGCAAATTCTTCTATTAATAACATAATTTTATAATACAAGCTATGGGCATATAGTGAATCTAATTTTTAACCTTTAATTACTGCCGAACTTATTGTTTCAGCCAATGAAATCTTATTTTAAAGAATTTTCTCATATTTAAATTCTTAAGTAAATCATTTCTATTGTTTATTGTATAATTGAGATCGGGAAGTGATGATGTACTCGAAACAAGAAAAATGCCAGGATGCTTTTCGATGTAATTGATAATATTGCGATGTGAATATTATAATGTATCATCATTAAACAAAAAACTATTTTAAGGTTTGAACTATTTTAAAGTTTGAACTATTTCGATTTATGTTACAATTCGTTCTTAATATCTTTCAATAACTCATCCTTATTAGAAAACGATCGATCTTTTGTTAATGAATAGCGTAAAGAAATTGACTAATTGTTCTTCAACCTCGTATTAATCGAAAATTGTTTATAAAATTCAAGCCCGTAATATTAGCGAACTTCTGTATAGCAATACAAAACTTATTATTATATTGTCAATTTCTTAATCCGATTTGTGTGGTATCAGAGTTTGATGGTTTAAAGAATAACTTAATGAAAATCGAAGATCAACATATATTATAAATTAGGTTTGACACACTAATCGTTCATAGCTTGTATTATGATATGTAATTGTACATTCGTGTACTCTTAAAGGATTATAAAAATCTAAGAAGAAATATAATTTAACAAGCAATTTTCCAGTATACACATACTTGACAAATTAAAAAAAAAATGAAGATTAAATATAATTTTAAGACTGAATCCTGTAATTCATAAATTAAAGCGGTCTGAGGAAGTATGATGAACAGAAAAACAGGGAGGGTTGAGGGGGGAAGGGGGGGGGGGAGAAAAAAACGATTATAAAAACGCCTAATATTGTTACCGAAAAGAAAAACTATCAATCATTAATATATACCGATTGTTGCTACAATGCAATTTTAAGTATTAGACACATTAAAGCATGAAGGAAGACAAAAGTTTAGAGAGCCCAATTTTGCGAAATTATTAGAATGACGCTGAACGAATATTCCTCGACGTGCTATTTTTTATATTACGAAGACTTAGGATTAGAGAAAAAATTGAGCGAAAAGCGTGCCATATGCTTTCTATTTGCGAAGAAAATGATGGTTTAAAAAAATGTAAGAAACAAGTATCGTGTGCTATGTTCTATTCGTGTGTATAATTAGATAAATTAGAGATTGTGGAGGAAAGCATAAAATTTTGGTTTGAGAAGAGTAATGCGAAAAGAAACTAATGCCTATAAGATGTCAAATAGAATAACTGACGCTTGTTAGATGTATATAATGTAGTATAGTAAAAGCAGAGGAACTCTCTTTATACTTGAAAACAAAAATGTCTACGAAGGATAATTTATTTGATATTAAACGAAGTAGCCCGCAGCATTGTCTTTAATTATAAAATCGAAAAAATAATACAATTTAAAAATCGAGCAATTACGACTGAATTTCACTTCAACTTTTTGATATTTTTATCTTAGCAATCAGTTTATATGGAGAGAGGTCTGTAAGCGAGCAGCTACACAACTTATTTCTTAAGTATATATATAAATGAATCTAAATTATTATTATCAGTAAGCTAAGGAGTCCCTTTTTTTTTTTTATTTTTTTTTTTTTTTTTTTTTTTTTTTTAGCTTTTATAATATTTGTCACGAACGTGAACACTGATGTTTTTTAATAGATCATTGTCGTTTTATTTACATAAAATATATTAATACTTAATTATTTTTAAATTATAAATAATATAAAATGTATTTTGCCTTCAAATTTTTAATTTTAAGTAATGCCATAATAATACATAATAAAGCTGGTCTATTTAAAAGTGATAAAAATTGTTCATGTTGATGTGTCATTTCGTAGAATTACGAATATTAAAATATAACACCAGTTCATGTATTTAATTTAAATTGGTATGATAATGCACAAGAACTTTGAGTTGAAGTGCACTTAAGATAAGAGCTATTGGTTTATATTATACATACTCAGAGCAGTAATTGCCATGATCACTGCTTTATTTGTTTTTATAATTGTTTCAAGATAAAAATCAGATCATCTAAAATTGCTGTAAACCAAAGTCTTTTGTAATGTCTACTATGTTTATTTCGTCCTTTTTGTATAATGCGCTGCCACAGATTATTCCACGTAGCAAACTGTCTATTGTATGATATTCTAGTCACTGAGAAATCTGTTTCTGACAATTTTTTTTACATTCGTATTATAGAGACAGGACGAAACTATAAAGAGGTACGTAGGTGATAATAAGGGTTTAAAAAATAAATTATAAATTTTGTAAAATTTACAATAGTTTTTAAATGTATTTAATATCCTAATTATGTTTTATTTCGATATTTAATAAACCTTAAGTTAAATAACACTAATTCTTATAATATTTAATAATCTTCGCTGTTTTTAAATTTAAGTTTCGACATTTCAATAATTTAACTATTTAAGTACTTGTAAGAATTAAAGATTTAATTAAATTGCATATAATTAAGTATTATGTTAAATTGAAGTTGTGTCGATGAACAACTATAGTAATAGTAATTTCTAAAACTGGCGCCAAAATTCATTAAGCAGTTAAATTTTTACTTTAATCTTCATAAAAATATATTTCGTGAACTATTTGTGTCCAGCATAGAAAATTTAGATTTTATTTGAATAACAGCTGCTATTTTTGTTACTATTGAAATTCGTTTTAATACACACTACTTTATTAATATTATTCGCTGTATTAATAAATTTGATTCCATTTTATAATATCCAGTTATAATAACACATACATCTTCCAATTTATAAATGTTTCTACGTTTTTTCACCTTTACCAGCTTCATCTATCAATTATTATTATTACTTTTCATGATGTAATTTTTAATTTAATTTTAATTATTATAATTTTTATGCTTGAATTATCAGCCTTTTATGAAAAATGAAGATACATTTTATAAAATAAAAACTAGCGCTTAATAAACGACAAATATGAATAAAAATTTATAAGAAAAAATTTTAATATAATTAAATTTTAGAATGAGAAGTTACCACTTCAAGAATACTGGCTATGGAGCATAAGTTAATGTAGGATTTGTTGTTTTTGGTTGATATTATGCCATTCTTGATTTCTTTTATGACTTTCCGCCAATTTAAGTAGACATGGAGTATAAATGAATTTACGAATCATGTATTTTCTATTTACGTCAATTGTATTTTTATTTTTAACAAATGGAAGAGAGAAGTTGTTTTTTATTTTAGAAATTTATCATAAACAAATAATAATAAACAAATAACAGAAATAATTTTTATACAAAATAAACTGCAAACCATTTTACCAAAGTAATATCTAAAAGCAATATATATTGTCGTTATAAATAT